GAACTTTATCCTTTACTTCAACTTTATATAGTAGATGAAGTAGGTTATCGATTGATTCAGATTATCGTAAGTAATTATCGATTGATTAAATGTAAAGATGTCGTTAAACAATTTTAACGGGTTTTCGAGAGAATCGTTAGAAAGATTCACTCAATCTGAAATTCGTTCGCACTTTCGATCGTTCACACTTTCGAATTATTTCTCTCTTAGAAAATTGAACACATATCTATTTATCTGGGATACGCTATGCACATGAGCCTCCTTTCAAAAATTAAAGGGTCCTGAAAAGTCTGATAGGGAACCCCGATCACTTAATCGCTGAAGAATGGAAATGTCTGCACCCCTTACTGAAATTCCATCCAAACGTAGTCGTAGAGGAGGCCTTGGTAGCGGATACGCCCACGCCTACGCAGTTCCTTACATTTACTACTCTCTAATCATTTACTTGATTAACGCCGCTCCTTTTGTCTGTTTCATAGCATATACAATGCTGTGTAGGTAAGCAGTAAGGGTTTGGTGTCTATACGTGTGAGGTGAACGCTTCACGCCGTTTGGGTAAAAGAGACATATGGGAGATGTGATTATCCAGTGGAAGGAAGCAGCAACTACTCCAAAACAGAGGTGAATGTCGCCGAATTTGGGCAGAAGTATCGTCGCCCGAGCAAAAGGGCCCAAAGATTTTATTGCACTACACCGCCCACATCCTCGACATTTCGAGCTCTCGTGACATTTTGGTAGTACTCTTTGGCGTGGCTTTTTCGTGATTATGTTTCACTCAGAGGGAAGGCAAAGTCCGACTGAAGTGGAAAAAACTCTCCAAGCTCGGGAAGCAGGGAATATGGTAAGGTGGTAAGTGGGACGATCTGGGAAGGAAACAGAATCATTCCACCCACATACCTGTTCCCAGATGGAACGAAATACTACTTTACAAAATTTTTAGCAAATTTCCCTATGCGTGACGTACCACCACCAGCACCGCCACCACCACGAGTTTTACCGGTATTACCACCTGCGATGCCACCACCATCGATGATTCTGCCGAGATTGCTGCAATCACCTCGACTTGGGTCAGCAGGTAGGATAATGAGGAAATGTTTATCGTTTACTTTTTAAGGAATCATCTTTTTGAAGAGTCAATATTGTCTATATCCGGTTTGGTTTCCATCCAGGTAAGTCTCATTTACTAAAAATTCCTCTCATCGGTTCAAGGAGAAACTGATCTCGTGAAGCTTCACGAAATGAAATGGCGCCTTCTGCCACTACACCTTTTCGATTTTGCTCTGATTTCGCAAGTTTTCAGGAATCGGCGTTGTCGAAACTCCATTGACGGTTGATGAAGAAGCAACTCGTATATACGCCAGGAATCTGGGACGATTTGAGGAGCCACGATCGGCACGTGATAAACTGCCGATGAGAGGAGAATCCAACTCGCTAGACCCCTACGAGAACTGGCATTGAAAGAAACGATTACAGTATCCCTTTTTATGTAGCTCAATTTAATAAACAGTATCGATTTACATTTGTGTCAGACTTACATGGAACTTGTTTGATTCAAGGTTAACGTCGGAAGCATTTTGTTTTTGTCTCAATTTTGAGAAGGCTGCC